GGGCGCAGCCTGGCCGTGCTCCCAGCCTCTCCGTCCTGAGGAGGGAGACGGTGGTCAGGTGTGAGGTGGCCTGGACAGGGGGGAGGAAAGGGGTCGTTGGCAGTGCTCACATGTCCAGCTTGTAAGCCTGGACCCGGCCATGGTGGCAGGAGGGCCCTAAATGCCCACCGAGGCCCCTCTATTTCGGGAGCTGGGAGAGGGGGAGTGGCAGGCACGGTGGGCCATGGAGCTGGGTCCCGTGTCGGGGACACAGACGGGACGTTCTTAGAAAGGTGCTTCGGAAACTAGCAAACGCGCGAAGCAAGCCCAGTTTCCCGAGGGGCCTTTCGTGCTGTCAGCAATTGAGATATTTGCAGAACATTGTATAGATCCCACTCTCCCCTGTACATTTCTCCCTGGTGGCGTCCGGTCCCTGCTCGGGGATGGGAGTTTTGTAGACTGTACAGAAATCGGCACCCTATTTTCTTGCAGCTCTCAGATTTTGTTAAATCTGGATTATACAGACAGACGTAAAGTGTTTTAGCAAAATGGAAAACAAACAGTTGTGCCTTTTTCCTCTTTTTGTTTGGTTTGGTTTTGGCTTGGGGTGGCCTTAGTTGGTATGGGGCGTGTTGGGGGCTGTGGCTGGTCTGAGGCCTGGAGGGGCAGGAAGGGCGGGTGGGTGCCACGCGGGCCCAGCATGGTGGGCTGTGTCTTGTCAGTGGTAGCTTGGGGATGCTGCCAGCTTCCATTGATCCTGTGCCTTTGGAGCCTTGGGTCCCTGGTGTGGGGACGTGTGGGTGGGGGCCGTTGGAGCCCACTGGGGCTGCGGCAGAGCCGGGGCTCTGGAGCTGCCAGCATCTGGGGGACGTTGGCCAAAGTGTGTCACCAGGCTTGCTCCTGGGCAGACGTGTGGCCCTTTCCTGTCCTGCTGGCGTCTGTCTGTCCGTGTAGGATCTGTGGGCTGGGTGGGCTGCAGTGTATTCCCCAGCCCCACTGCGGTGGTGGCCAAAGGTACCAGCTGGCTGTGCCCTGTACTTGGGACAGGGCCTTCGCTTGGCCCGTGTGCGGCTTGGCAGACCCTGAGATCACTGGGGGAGCAGATCCCCCATCCTTCCCCTGGGCCGGAGGCTGGGCACACTCCTGGGGAATGCCTGTCCCTGGCTGGCCACTTCCCTCCAGCCTGGGAACTAACTCCTCCACAAACACGCACCAAGATACGAATTTTATACATTTGTAGAAATCCTGATGTTACTTCTACCTCTGTGAAGCGTCCACCTGGGGCTCTGCTCAGTGGTGTATCTGGGCAGCTCTTGGCATTGTCAGGCCCTGGGCCCCCTCCCCCTCCCTGCTGGCCTCCTGGGCCTCCCTCAGTGGCTCCTGCCGAGGCCCCGGGAAAGCCGGCCCCCAGGCGTGGTGCCCATGTTCAGGAGACAGGGCTCCCAGGACTTTTGGAAGCCTCTGTTTTTGGATGGGCAAAGCAGGAGGTGGAGTGTTCCAGACTGTCTCTGTTAGATGAGCCTGGAACACAAACCCAGTGGGCAGCTCGGGGCAGTGGGATGCAGGACAGCTGAGAACTCTAGCCCCTCCGGATGGCCCAGCGCCACCAGCGTCCCCAGGTATGGGGTCTTCAGAGAGCTGGCCCCTGAGGGTGGTGGCCACACTGGGTTGTCTGCGGGTGCTGAGGCGGCCAGCCGTGTGGAGGCTCGTGGTGACATCTGTCCCCTTTCCCCATACCCACGTCCAGCCTGGCTTCCCACTGCTGCCCTTGGTTGGATGGGACAGGGAGAGGGGCCAGCCTGCCTCAGGGAAGGGGGGCAACCCTGGGAGAAGGCTTGAGCTGGGAGGCCCTACAGCCGGGCTGAGGTCACGAGGTCCTCAGGCAGCCCCCATCCTGCCCTGGGTGTCCTTCCTCAGAGAAGGCCTTTCCAGGGGACAGGCGGGGGCTGCTCCTCAGATGGCTTCCTTGGGAATCTGGCAAGTGCTGGGGAAGCTCTCTGGGCCACAGGGAGTCACGCAGTGTGAGTGCCTGCCCTGGCCGGCCCCATGTGGCCTAGAGCCTGGGCCCTCGCTGGGCTGGGGCCAGGTCAGGGGCTGAGCCCCTGGGGAGCCAGCCTCCATACCTGTCTGCGTCCAGGGAATGGCTGGCAGCCCAGCCCCCCTCCCAGCAGGTGGGCAGCATGGGTCCCGACTGTTTTGGCCACGGCCAGTGTTCCTGTGCTGGTGGGCCTTTGGCTGAGGCTTTCGGGGCTTGTGTTGTGGGCTGGGTGTGGGGCAGATCCTGGAATGTTTGCCCTTTGGTGCCGAGAGCGGGGCCGCCCAGGGCCTGGGGTGGAGGAGAAGGGGCCTGACCTGCCACTGTTGGATGTATTTTTTTTTTTTTAACAGCAATAATTAGCCATTTTGAAGAAGGGGTGTGTCTGTGTGTGTGCGTGCCTGTGTGTGTGCACACACGTGCATGCCTGTGCCTGTGTGTACCTGCACATGTGTGCATATGTGTAAGTGTGTGGTGACAGGGAGGGGACCTCCTGCTGCAGGCTGCGTGGGCTGGCACTCAGCCCCACGCTGAGACACAGGGGCCCCGGCTCGGTGCTGTGCTTCCTTCTCCCAGGCCTGCCCCAGGGCCCAGTGGACCTTGAATGTAGTGCTCCTTCCCCCCCTGGCAGATGGCACTGGACGGGCCTGTGTGAAGCGGGGGGACCCGGGATAAGCCTTTGCCTGGGTCTCCGGGGAGGATGGCAGGGGTGGACGCTCAGCCAGACCAGCCAAGATCAGATTTGATGACACGGAGTCACCGTGGTTAGGCTGTTTGACCACAGCCGCTGCGGACACCGTGTCTTCGGGCGAGCAGAGCTCAGATCATGTCATGGTGGCTGGGTTCACTTCCTGTGGTTCACTTCCTATTGATGACCCCACAATTGTGGCAACTGTCCTGAGACCCCAGGATGTGCCAGAACAGCCCTCGGGAGGGTCCGGAGGGGCAGGGGAGACAGGCTGCAGGGCCAGGGGCAGGTGGGGGTCCCAGGCTTCCTGTGGGTGTGTGAGCAGTGGGGGCGGGGGGAGGACAGTGCCGTGGGTCTGCCCGCACGGCCCCCAGTGCTGCTGTTTTTCAATAAAACCAGAGCTGATGGAACTGGACTCCTGTGCGTTCTTGAGGCATGGTGCTTTTCTGCAGATGCTGGACTCCTCCTTGGGGATGGGGGCAGGTGCTAGGGTGACCTCTGGAGCTGGGGCCGCTGTCCCTGTGGCTGGCCGCCCTGGCCGGTCTCCACCGCAGGCCTGGGCATCCGCCTGTCCACTTGGCACCTCTGAAGAGCAGCTCAGCTCTGAGGGGCTCAGGTGAGGCGTCAGGCCCACCTCCCTCCTGGGGACAGTGAGGTGCTGTCTGGCCCCAGATAGCTCAGCGTAGGGCCCTCCCTTGGTAGAGGAGCAGCCTTGGCTCATCCCCTCCCCAGGGTTGGCCTCCCGCGGCAGGAGGGCTTTGGGCAGGCTCTAGGATCAGCCAAGTCAAAACCAGCATCTGCGGTCTTGAAGCCTGAGGGCCCAGCTTCTTTAGGCAGCACACTCTGGTCCTCGCTGGGCGGGGGCACAAGGCGTGTTTGGACATCAGCCTGGGGCCGGTGTGCAGCCCAGCGGTGGCCGTGCCTCCGAGGTGACCGCATAAAGACAGGCCCCCAGAGGCGTGGCCACCCCCATGCACACAGGCATGTGGACAAGCAACACAGGCCCGAGGCTGGCATGGAGGGGACCAGCTCTCCAGCCTCTGGAATGTTCTATTACACAGTGGTCAGGCTTGGCCATACAGATCCTTGTGCACTCCGTGAAAACAGTGACACTATCCTGAAGTGGGCCTGGGCCCGGTAAGCAAAGTGGGGTCCACACGGGAGGTGGCGTGTAAAGCCCAGTCACCGCCTATCTGAGCAGCCCGGGTGCACGCGGGAGGGAGCTTCTCGCTCGGACCCATGGCTGCATCTGAGTGCCCGTCAGCATGTCCCTCCACCCCAACAGGTGCCGTGGGGACCCTCAGAATCCAGACAGGGAAGCACGTGGGAGGGGAGACCCTGGGGAGCCAGGATGCCCTGGAAGCAGGACCACCAGGGGTCCCTTTGCAGGGGCTGTGAGGGAGAGGCAGCTGAGCAGGGGTGCAGGAACGGGCGGGGCTGCAGTCCCACCTGTGGCACGGACTACCCAAGTGGGCCTGTACTATGTGCCTCCGTGTCCCCACTGTGCAAGGGGGGACACTGTGAGGCTGTTGGGGTGCACAGTCTGGGAGAACCACTTTGAGAGGAGGGTTGGGGGGAGCTGGCTGGCCCCCAGGGACTGGTCACTAGCCGGCGGGAGGTTCGTGGGGAGGCTGGGGAGCCCAGGAATGTTGACTCCAGAGGCCCCGACGGCCTGGCCGGGCACATGGGAGTCAGCTGTGAGCACAGAGCCCATGGCTGCCCCGCTGTGCTCTCCTTATGCACTGCTGCTATCCGGGTGGCCTGGGAGGAGGGGCGGCCCCGTGGCTGTGGGGAGCTCGGGGGGCCAGCAGGGAGGGCTCCAGCCTGCTGGCAGCTCCTTGCGCACCGGCTCGGTGCTGAGCAGCTGTCCACCTGGAGGAACGCGCCCGGGCTCTGTGGGAGAAGGGCTGGGGGTGCCTGCTGTGGGCCAGGCAAGGCCACTCCCATTTGAGGCACTCCGCCCTGGCTCTGGCCGAGGGGCTCAGCGCTGTGGGCATGGCGTTTCCCATCCATGGGAAGAATTCATTTGCACAGAGACTCGGCCCGCTTTGAATAAGGCTTTTACTACAGGGGACAACCCAGGGGGTGAATGTGGCCCTCTCCACGTCCTGCTCAGCTGTGAGCCGGTACAAAGCGCCCAGTGCTGACCTTGGGGAAGGCCACACAATGGGCTGGTGGAAACTAGTTCTCTCCTCCCACTGTTGCCTGGGGCTACAGACAAAATGAAGGCAAAAAATGCACACACCCGGGTAGGTGCTGACAAGGGGGCTGGTGGTGGCTGGGTGGTTGCTTGGAGACTCAGCAGGACGTGGGCTGGTCCGAGGGCCTGGGGGCCTCCTGCAGCGGCACCAGGTGCCCCCACGTGTGGCCAGCACTCAGGCTCACCTTCAGGGGCACCTGTGGGCAGCAGCAGCGGTGAGGACCAGGCCCAGGCTAGCGTTCCCGGCCGGCCCCCAAAGCCCACATGCAGGTGGGCATGGGCCCCTGGTGCCAGGAAGCCACTTGGCCCAAAGACATGACTAGACACGGCCACAGCGCACCGCTGGGGACAGATGCACGCACACGCTCTCAGTGACAGGCAAACGGGCACCCCCAGGTCATAATACCTCAACCATGGCTGAGCTCCCGGCTGACCTGCCAGGGCCTCTGTGCCAGGGAGCAGGCCTGCAGGTGCCTCACGGGCTCACCACCTCAGGGTCCTGCTCCCTGGGGTCAGTTGGTTCTGAGAGATGCCAAAGGGGGGGCTGCAGAGCCCTCCCAGGGACCCTAACTTTGAGAGGGACCTTGCCAAGGCCCTTGACCATGGCTCAACAGCTCCCTCTTGGCGGGGAGGATGGGGGCTGCCTGTAGCTGCACAGCAGGAGCAGCCCCTCTGCTCCCTGCAGGACTGCAGGTGGTGGTGGTGGGGGACGGTTCCTGGGCCTCCAGGAACCACAGGGCAGGTGCGGGAGGGCAGCAGCCTGGGGGCTCAGGTGCAGCTGGCAGGGCTGGATGCCCTGTCTTGGCTCTCCTGCCCCGTGGGAGCAGGACTCTCCTCTGCCACCTGGGTGGTTCTGGCTGGGAGTGGCCAGCTGGGAGGAGCCTGGCAGAGTTGAGTGTGACCCGCCCGGCTCCCCTCCCTCCCCTCCCCTCACCTGCAGCTGTAGCTCCAAGGCTGGCACGTTCTGCAGGGACTCCATGGTCCCCCTGACAAGAGCTGGAACAAAGGGAAAAGAGGGACGGGGGCAGCCCCAAGCCATCTTGGCAGAGATGGGGCCATCATGGGAATGCCCAGGACCCAGCCCTGCCCTGGCCCCCAGGCTCCCCAGTTATTCCGAGTCCACGTGGTCAGCTGTGCTGGTGGGTCCGGCAGCCCCGGCATTACCCTGTGGCTGGTTGCACTGGCCACATCCCTAGCACAGGCCTGAAGGCACCTTAACTGCTCCAACCATGGTTGCTGGGGGCAAGTTTCTCTGCTGCCGACCTCACCCCCAGCCCCAGGCTCAGCCAGTGGAGGCCTGGGCAGGTGGGGCTGGGGGCAGGACTGCACCTCGGCCTCCAGCCCTGTCCAGAGGCTCTGGGGCTGGGAAGAGGAGAGAGTGTAGGGCAGCCCTGGCTGGAGCAGCGGGGCCCACCAAATGGCCCATGAACTTTAATGTGATGGTAAAGCCCGGAAGGGCAGCTCTGTGGTGCTGGTGGGTTGGCCTCAGTCACCATGGGCCAGTTACCCTCCAGCCCTGAGAAAGGGAGCAGCCAAGGCAGGGGAGGGGTCAGCTGGCTCAGTGTTTCTCGGAGTTGGCTTGGAACTCTTTTGCCCCTTTGATCAAGATATATTTCATTCCATCCTACTAAGTTATCTGCAATTTTCGATACAAATATTGTGACAGAAAGACCCCCTGAAGGGGTGGGTACTGCCTTGTTCTCCCCTCCCTGGCTCTGGGATTAACCTGCCAACTCCCTGGGGACCGGTCTCTGGGTGCCTGGGTAGGACAGTGGCTACCCGAGGGCTGTACACCTGAGCTCTGTGGCTTTGTTTCCCTCTCTGTGCTGTGCACAGGGTCATGGCGGGGGGCAGGAGGCAGGGGTGGAGACTGGGGCATAAGGCTGCTGGGTAACTGGGAGGGCAGGGTAACTGGACTCCCCCGCCCCTCTGGCCTGCACATCAGGAGCCCTGCAGAGGGGGCCACAGCCACGCTGGGGAGCTTCAGGGGTGTCCAGTTGCTTCCTAAGGGCAGGAGGCAGGACCTTGGCCTCCCTCACCCTACTGGGGAAATACTGGCTGTGCAGGGAACCATCCCCCCAAGGGATGGAGTCCCCTCTGCAGGATGGAGTCCGCACACTTAGCATCGAGTCTGCACATTTAGGATGGAGTCCCCACTGTAGGACGGAGTCCGCACTCTAGGACCAAGGGCCACAAGGCCAGCAAGTCCAGAAGGGGAGTCCCCATCATCTAAGAGCTCTGATGCTGAGGCAGACCCCAGGGAGGACTGGGGCATGGCCAGGATGGGGCACATCCACTCAGCACGGGGCAGGGAAGTGGCCTGGAATTCCCACAGGGGGCAGACGCCAGCCAGCCAGGGGAGCCACATTAGCTATCCGGGAAGTCAAAGCAGCTTTGTGCTACCCAGGCTCACCTGCAAACTCTGGAATCTGTGAATCTTCCACCTCAAATAGCAGCTCATCATGAATTTGGGCGACCAACCTGGAAGACACGGCGGTTTTGGGGGGGGAGTCACCCTGAGATGTGGCCTCTGGATCCCATGCTTTGCATGGGGCACCAGGGAAGGTTGTGGCACAGGGTGCTCTAGAGGATGTGACTGGGTGGGGAGTGGGAAGACCCCTGCTGCCTGGGGTCCCCTGACTGTCACCAGGAGAGTCTCCAGGGAAGAGGGGAGCACAGGTTAGAAGTGACCCCAGCCTCTGGATCCCATCACAGGGGGCACCTGGGACACCCAGCCAGGACTGGATGTAAATGTCTTCCCACAGAGTTGAGGCCGCCAGACCTCAGCAAGTCGCTGCTTGTGGGTCTCAGGGGGGCTTAGGCTCAAGTGACGGGGGCCAGCAGGGGCACGCATTCTGTGGAAGGTGGGATCTGCGTTGACGTAGGTGCTTTGGGTGGATGACGCCTTCCATGAGCTGTGGCCCAGGGCAGAGGAAGGTGGCTTGCTCTGTGCACTCAGGGAGGGGAGGTGTGGTGCAGGTGACCCACAGGAAAGATGGGGGACATCAGGGAGGGACCTGTGTGCTCTGCCCTTTGTGTGACTTGCTGTCTCCAGGACAGGGGCCTTCGAGGTCAGAGGCCACGTCTGGTCCTTGTCATTTTGCAGGCACTGTGTGGGAGGGAAGAGGCGGCAGGCAGAGGCTCTAGGAAGGCAAGGCTGCCCAGGAGAGGTGCGGCGAGGCCCCCCGTGCAGGGGTCGTGGCAAGCCCAGCTGAGAGAGGGAGCAGCTCTTCCAACCACAGGGCAGAGATGAGCGCTGCTGCCACGTCCGGGGGGCCCCCGGCTTTGCCGTAGGCCTTCCTGCCGGTCCTGCGGGGAGAGGATCCGCCCGACATTCTGGGCTGCCCTCTGGAAGCCAGAGCAGGCTGGTGGCATGGCCCCCGGTGGGGTCTTTGTTCCCACGGGATCTTCGTTTTCAAATTGGCAGAAACTCAGAAGAGGCCCTCGTTCCTTCTTTCAGATTTAGCAGCATCAGCGTTCACACTTCTTGAAATGACGCTGTGAGTTCTGAGCCACCAGTGTGGCAGCGACCTAAGAATAGGCCTGAGTCGTTAGTCAACTTACACATCGCTCCCACAGCTGACGGCGACATTCCCGGACGTCCAGCCGGAAATGGGGGCACGAGACAGGAGAGGGGCAGCTGAGCGCGCGAGTCAGACTCCGCTGCTCCCGGGGAGTGACTGCCCACCGTCGCGCTGTCCCCCACGACACTCCTGCGAGCGAGCGCTCCAGCAGAGCCCGGCCTCCTCAGCGCCCGCCGCTGGCCTGGCCCTGTCATCTCCCTGTCACCGCCTTGCACGCTTCCCGCTTCGCCCCTCCCAGCCTTAGGAGCAGGCCCGCGGCCGCCCTGCCGTCTCACAGGGTCCAGGCTCATCCAGGCCGCTCCTCACTTGGCCGAGTCTCTTGCCTCCCGGACCCCCGGCTCCTTCTCCGCCTGTTTCTGAGGCCAGGAGATTGAGTGCCGCACGGTGGTGAGCAAGGCCTGGCCACGGGGCGTCCTCATTTGCTGCTGCATGGCGAGGTGGCCAGGGGTCAGAGGGTCCCCCTGGTGGTGAGCCAATGACCCCGTCTTCCACAGAACACCCTGCATCTTCCTGGCTATATCCCTGCACCCGAGGGCAAAGGAGTGGATGAGGGCCTTCCAGAGGTGGCCACCGTCCAGAGCAGGGGAACCAGGCGGGTCTCCTGGTCCTCTCGGTGCCGGGGACACAGTGTGAGCAAAAGCTGTGGCTCTGCGGCTTGGGCTGGGAGGGACGTGGGTGGGCTCCGAGCCTCAGTTTCCCCTTGTCTACACTCATGTGTTAGAGCCAACCGTCTCTGAAGCTTCTTTCTGACTCCGACATGTTCTGAAACCTAGAAAGGCCTTTTTACAGAGGCCCCATGTCCTGAGAGGCCCAGAGGCAAGCCCTGAGTGTTGATGACTGCGCCAACAATTCGCAGCTGGAAGCTTGCCTGCCTTCTTGCTCTGGGCCCGGGGGCTGCGAGGGGAGGCTGGCCTGTGGCTGCAGGCCATGGGGGCCTGGGGGTGACTGGGTGAGGCTCTCCGGGTACCTGCTCCGCTATGGACAGCCACGAGCCTCTGGTGATGCGTTTCGTGACCTCACACATGGCTTGCAGCGGCCTATTCTAAACTCGATCCAAAACTTCTCCCATTGCTCCGGGAAGAAGAGAGCTGAGTCAGAAAGGCCCCAGATTCCACACGGAACTGCTTTGTGTTCTAACACAACACTACATGTTTGCTATGGGAAGCATTTCCCAAAGACAGTGAAGCCTGAGAGAAGGGCAGCTGGGTGCCAAACCCCAGAGGAGGAAACGTTCATGCTCAGCTCTGGACTCCGTTATCTAAGAAGACCCCAAGTCTTCATGTACCATCTTCCTTTATCAATCCCACAAAACCCCAAAATGGATCAGACTTCTCTGGACTATGGTATCACAGATGCAGAACCACGGTGTGGCCTTCAGTTCCGGCCGAGGTGGTGAGCTACACAGGCTCATGCCCCCTCTTAAATGTACCCTACAGAAAGCACACCAGGGGGCAGGACGCAGGGGGCAGGGGCCTGGAGGCCCAGCATGCGCTGGCGTGTGTGGGGGGCGGGGGAGCAGACGGACATGGGGGCAGGAGAAACTCAGAGGAAAGCATTTCCCATTCTGTTCTTGCCTCTGCCCCCCCAGTGGCAGCAGAAACCAGAGACGTAGCCCAGACACCAGTACGGCAGCGTATCTCAGACAGCCACCCAGCATCGCTCCTCCCAGGCCCAGGCTGGCAGCTGCGGAGGCCCACTCCCCATGCTGCTTCTCCCTGAGGTGGACGGTGGGTGGGTCCGAGGCGGGGTTTGGGACAAGGGCTGCAGAGGGGGCTGCTGGGCGGGTCTGTGGGGCTTGGGGACAGTCCTCTCCCTAGCCCTTCACTAGGATGCCACCCACACTCTCTGGCGGGGCCTTTGCCCACTGCACATTTCTGTACAAAATTGCTGGAACTACCAAAAAAAAAAAAACCACCCAGGTTCAAACGTCAAAATGAACAGTAGGAAATATGTGAAGAAGGAGAAGCCTTTTTAAGGAAAGATGAAGGACTCAGATATGGACGGCAATCATGCCTTGAAAAGTAGAACAGTATCGAAGCCAAGATGAAACTAGCCTCAGATGGAAAAGGGTCCCGCTGTGCAGGTGACATAGGTGAGCATGACCTCCCACCCTTGGTCACAAGCCAGAGAAGCAGCTGCCTGGTTCTGTTGCCTGGGAAGGGCTCGTCTGCAGGGACAGGCCCCCTCCTGCCTGGAGACCACCTCCAGCGAGGCAAACAAACATGCATGGGGCCCAAGCAGGGAGGCCCAAGCAGGAACAGAGCTTCCGGGCTCTGACACACTCACTTCTCTGGGGGACTTACAGGGAGCCACCAGGAAGGGGTCCCGGGGCGCTGGAGCAGAACCCACCCCCTGCCACCTGCACCGGCGCCAGGACCTCGGGTGGCTGCCAGACATGGTTCTGGACCAGCAGAGCTGGACAGGGGCTCCTTGTCACCCAGCCACCTGGATGCTCTGCCACAGAGGCAGAGACAGAAAGTGGAGACAGCTGTGGCCCAGAGGCAGCCATGGTTGAGCCCCCATCTTAGAGATGCATCTGCATGCTGGCTCTGGGGGCGGGGCTGGGTGTCGGGCACACTGGGTGGTGGCAGCAACAGGCACCGAGAGTGGGGGCAGTGTGGAGTCTCCGTGTCCCGACTGAGGTTCAGTGGGGTCCGCCCTCCTCGGGTGGGCAGCTGCATGGGATGCCCCTTGGGCTGGGCCTGCAGGGGCTCACACACACCTGGGGAGATGCATTTCCACACCAGCTGAACCTCGAGAGGCCTCCTCATGCCTCCAGGCGGATGGCCCATCGCTATTGCAGCTGCTGTGAGCTGGCCCCTGGGCACTTGGCCCCGCCCGAGTTGGGAGGCAGGGGCTCTCCTGGGAGTGCTGAGAGGAGCTTGGGCCCAGGGGGCCCCTCTGCTTGGGGTTCATGGGAAGTGGCAGGCGTTGCTTTGCTCCTGGGAGGCGCGTGCGCATGGGCCAGCCACGGTGTCGCCTCACAGAACCACAGGCCTCCCACCCAAGCCCTGAGAAAGGCAGGTCCACGTGCTGGGTCAGGCCCAGGCAGGCTGGCCACTCATTCACTGACCTGGCTGTCAGGGTTGGGGAAGCGGCCACTGCAGTGAAGACGTGGATCATGGCTATCTTGCAGAGGTCTGCGGCTGAGCCTGTGGGAATAAGAGGTTCTGTTTCACAAACAATGTGAGGTCCAGGGCCCCACAGCAGGACTTGGCCAGCACACTCAGCCAAGCCCCGGCTTAGTTTTCTATGCTGTGAGACGCGGGACCCCACGCCTCGCAGGTGAAAACAACCCAGATCTACCATCTCATAGCTCCTGCTGAGCAAGAACCCAACCCGTGTGGCTGGGTCCTCTGCTCGGGGCCTCACAGCCTGAGATCAGTGTGTGACCCGACCAAGTCCTCATTTGGAAGCTCACCTAGGGAAGACCCACTCCCGAGTGACCCCAGGTCATTAGCAAAATTCATTTCCTTGCCATGCATGAGTGAGGTTCCTGTGTTGCTACTGGCTGCTAGCTGTGGGCCGCACGTTCAGCTCCTGGAGGCTGCGCTGGGTCCTTGCCATGGGCTCTCTGCCCAACATGCAGTTTGCTTCTTCACGGCCAGCTGAAGGGCACCTACTACAGTGAATCCCGGACCCTGACCCCTACATGGTCTTTCAAGGGCCTGCCTGATTAGGTCAGGCCCACCGTGGATGCAACCCCTCTTTTGCCTTGTGGCTTGACCGAACCGTGGGAATGATATCACATTCACAGGTTCTGCAGAATCTAGAATCCTGCCTGCTGCACCAGCTAACAGAGTGACCAGGGAGGGGCGTGCACTCCAGCCATGTGGCCTCTTGACTTCGTTGTGCTCAGCTTTCCAGTGGATCAAATGGGGTTATGATAGAGCCTCCCAGATTTTGGTAAGGATAAATCACATGTCAGGGCTGTGTTGGGCACTCTGCAAGGTGCTGGCCAGTGTAGGCGACATGCCCATTCCAGTGCCAGGCACACAGCAGGTGTCTCAGTAATGGAAAACAGACTGAAGTTCAGGTTTCATTGTGGTTTGAAATTGCTTTAGCTCTTCATGTTTCCCAAGGTTCGCGAAGAAGTAAAGGTTGTTAGTCCATGGACTGCCTTGCTCCACTGCAAGGCTAAGCCTTCAGTCTATGGACGTCCTTTTCCTAGAAGTGTGGCAGACATGGAAGTCTGGCCTCTGAGGCTGCTGCAGTGAGGGGCTTCAGGCGGGATAGGGAGCTGTGCTGGGGTGGGATGTCAAGAAAAGTGCACGGAGCGGGAGAAACAAGGATGGGGAGGCGGGTAGCAAGAGAGGGGCGTGTGGGGGGAAGGGGAGGCCCCAGAGAGGTGGGCGCATCACAGCTGGTCATGTTGGCTGATGGGTCAGAGGCAGAGCTTTCTCGTGGGCACTGGCCACTGCTTCCCCTGGCACCTAGTTCAGCTCACACAGATTTCTGTTATGTGGATGGACTGGATGGACGGCAAGTCACTTGCTCAGAGACACACGTGTGCAGGGAGGCCGTATCCACAGGAGCTGGATGCCCTGGTCGGCTTCTCACATGAAGATATCTCGTGTGCAGGTCTTTCTGGAAGGGCTCTAACATAGCTTTGGCATCACCCAGCACGTGCCTCACACACATCTAGGGAACAGACACGTGGCTGTGGCCTGACAACGGCCTCCTACGTGAAAACCCACCATCTCAGGATGTGGAGGGCTGTCACTGTCCTCAGCTCCTGTCTGGCTAGTCACACTGGGAGACAGGACTCTGGAAGACTCTCTACTGAGCCCAGACCGATCCTAGTAATTGTTCTGTCAGCTGCCACTGAGCTTCCTGCTGTCTGAGCAACGCATGGAGGCTGTCTGAACTCAGTGCTGCCGTGTCCCCCTCTCTGCAGGACTTGCAGGGACATGATCTCCACCCTGCCGCTACTCCAAGCCACCTGCTCCTCATGGGCTGGGGTCCCTGGCTGCTGTCCTGCCTCAGAACCCCCCTCTGGGGGCAGGTGGTGGAATCCTGCCTTCAGGCCTCATGTCTGGGCCCTGGGGGCCTCGGTTCCCCCTTTGTGACCTATGGGGTGACCAACGGGATGACACCTGACTCCAGGCTGCCCGGGGCCTCCCTGGGACAGCTGGTGGCCCACGGTATGTGGAGCCTGGGATTATCGCTCTCCCTCTTCACCTCTACGCAGAACTATTTGAGGGCTGTGGTTAGAGATGGGAGTCTTCATAACCAGGGGCAGACGGGGTGCCGTCATGTCTTCCGGCCGCCTGCTGCTGAGGTTGCGGGATCCAGGAGGGCCTGCTGGGTCTGGAGGCCTTGCTGCAAGGTCTTACCCCTGCCAGGCATGAGGGGCATGGCAGAGAGCCCCAGGCCAAGAGTGCAGAGACTGAGCTCCAGGTCTCGCCCTAGTCCAGGCTAGAGAAACTCCGAACGCCTCAGTTCCCTATTCGGAGGTCCAGGAGAGTGTTGCCTGGGGGAAAGACCACCATGCCCCGAGTACCTGCTGAGCGCCAAGTGCAATTTCACTCGAGCCTCCTGTGTAACTGCCAGTGAGTACGGAAGCCGGGACTAGCATCCAGATAATCTGGGGGGTGTCCCTCAGCCCTGCAGCTGCTGAGAACCCACGGCAGGCGGCCCCAGGTGCTCTGCGTACCTTGCACAACGAAGTTCACGGCCTGCCGCTCTGCTTGCGCCCGGAGCTGCCGGTCTTGTGCGCGGACCCTTGGCAGCGGTCTCCTCCTGCCCGTGATGGACGCCACATAGCCTGGGTCACGCGAAGGAGAAGAGGTCATGAGGCAGAAATAAACAGGCTGTGTGGCGCCCCGGTGCTCCCCTAGCCTCTGTGGGCACGGCCTCCCCCACATGGGGCCCTGGGCCCTGGCGGGACCCCGCCTCCCTGCAGCGCTGAGCGGAGGGGGAGCTCCGCCCACGGGCCTCCCAGTCTGTCTCGGGGCGAGTGGGTTCTGCGGTGGGGAAGCAGGGCAGCTTCCTGGCGGCTCTGCTTTCTGACTTCTGGCTGCAGTCACAGCTCACAGGGGACGGGGAGGGCAGTTTACAAAGGCTGTTAAAGGCCACTCGTGGGGCTCGGGCACAGAAGTAATTCTGAACCATGCGGCCGCTGGGATAGGGAGAAAGGCCTTAACCCCTAGTCTACTCAAGGAGGGAGGGGCCACATTCTCACACAAAGGCAGACCCAAGTTTTGTGGAGCCTGAAGCTTCATAATTTTGCGGTCCTCTTTTTTTCTTTTTCATTTTAAAAAGATTTTTATTCATTTATTTGACAGAGACACAGCGAGAGAGGGAACACAAGCAGGGGGAGTGGGAGAGGGAGAAGCAGATCTCAGCAGGGAGCCTGATGCGGGGCTCGATCCCAGGACCCTGGGATCATGACCTGAGCCGAAGCAGATGTTTAATGACTGAGCCACCCAGGCGCCCCTCTTTTTCTTTTTTTAAGTAGGCTCCACACTCTATGGGGCCCAACATGGGGCTCCATCTCAGGACCCTGAGATCACCACCTGAGACGCTCAACCGCCTGCCCCAAGGTCCTCCTGAAGAAAACGAACACAGGGGCACCTGGGTGGCTCAGTCGAGCCCTGTGTCGGGCTCCCCACTTGGCGGGAGGCTGCTTCTCCCTCTCCCACTCCCCCTGCTTGTGTTCCCTCTCTCGCTGTGTCTCTCTCTGTCAAATAAATAAATAAAATCTTTAAAAAAAAAAAAGAAAACGAACATAAACATGTCGTGTTGGGTGAGTATATTCCTGACCAGTGAGGACTTGTGTTTTATTGGGTGTTGGTGAGATTAAATTGTCCATTCAGGATTTCACACATCTGAGGACTGGAAGAATTTCCCACATACGTCATAATTACAAAAATGACAATGTATGGAGCACCCGCGTAAAGCCTCCTAATAGTGACGGGCGGTGAGGACAGGGCGAGAGCCCTACTGCTCACAGCCGCCTGGCAGATCTGCCTCGTGTGTCTGCTCTGGCCCCGCAGGGTCAGGCGTGCCTACGCAGAGAGCTCACGTGCACACCCGGGGGCCCGAGCCCCTCTAGTCAGCAGTCCGTGTCGCCTCCTTGGTGTCTCTTGCCTGTGCACTCCGTCCATTCCACCTCAGATGCTGGCGGAGGTCCCGTCCCTTCAGACGACTCCCTGGGGCAGTGGCTTTGACTTCCACCTCCCCTGCCAATCGATCTCCCACGTTCCTGGACTGATTTGTGCAAAATGAACCCCAGCTTCTTCCCGTGGCTTGTGGTGTGCCATGCAGGGTCTGGGCCCACTGGCCTCTCTCTGGCCTCCGGGCTGCCCCATCCACCTGCGCACGCCAGCACCGCTCCAGGCTCTCCCGGCCTTTCCTGTGGTGGTGGCTCAGATGTCACCCCCAGGGAGGCCAGGGCACACGGTGCTCTCCAGGGGCCTCCCTCCATCTCTCTCTGCACTGGCATCCTGCTGGCTCCTTTTGCCCCTACAGTGCTGTCTGCTGGCTCCTTCCACGCCTACAATCCTGTCAGCTGGCTCCTTGCGCCCCTGCAATCCCGTGTGCTGGCTCTTTGCGCCCCTGCAATCCCGTGTGCTGGCTCCTTGCGCCCCTGCAATCCCGTGTGCTGGCTCCTTGCGCCCCTGCAATCCCGTGTGCTGGCTCCTTGTGCCCCTGCAATGCCGTGTGTTGGCTCTTTGCGCCCCTGCAATCCCGTGTGCTGGCTCCTTGTGCCCCTGCAATGCCGTGTGTTGGCTCTTTGCGCCCCTGCAATCCCGTGTGCTGGCTCCTTGTGCCCCTGCAATGCCGTCTGCTGGCTCCTTGCGCCCCTGCAATGCCGTCTGCTGGCTCCTTGCGCCCCTGCAATGCCGTCTTTCGGACACTGTCTGCATGTACTTGCTTACTTGTGGGTTATTGTGGCTCTTGGATTGTGGCCCCGGGACAGCGAGGAGCTCGTATCACTGCCTGACCCTCAACCAATTTGTGTGGAAGATTTTAATGATCATTCGAGGATCTTTCTGCCCAGAAGTGTAATAGTGGGTTGAAGGGCACACACACCCCACCTATGGCCCTTCAAGAGTTGAGTGCGAGGAAGGGAAGCAGAGGTGGGTGGCGGGGGTGTGCTGGCTCCGGGCTGGAGCTGCCTGGGGGTGGGCCCAGCCTGCTACCACCTGTTAGCTATGTGAACTTGAGAAGCTACTTAATGTCTTGGTGACTCATCTTCTCCGTCTGTAAAATGGGCAAGGATACCACCCACGTGGAGAACTGCAGTGAGGCTTCCATGAGTTACTCTACGGAAAGCCACTGACAGCGTGCCGGCACCTTCACTGTCTTCTGTCTTCAGCGATTCTGACTCCATATTCTATCACTCTTCCAACATTTCCAAAGTGGGTAGTCTTATTTTTCCCTTCGGTGAGGGTGCAGGTGGCCAAGGCGGAGGCTCACCTCCCAGGTCCAGGGAGCTCGCTGGGAATGGGAGCAGTTTGCTGGCTTTTCTTGTGCCCCACACCAAGGCTGCAGGGAGCTGGGTGCTGAGTGTGGTCAGGGCCCATGGGGACCCCGCCTGGGGCTGCTGCCTGGACGCACCGTCAGGCCAGGAGGCCCCTGCGGAGGGCCTGCCGGGGGCTCCAGAGAGGAAGGTGGCCAGCAGGGCCTGGCAGAGCTGGGACAGCCTGGAGCCTGAGGGATCCCGAGGGAGCGCGGCTCGGCCATTAGGAAGGCTGAGCCACTGGTGCCGCTTCTCCTTCCCTACAGCGTGAGCGAGCGCCCCTCTGCCCCCTTCCCTGCTTCATGATTCCTGCTCCCGCTCATCTCTCTCCTTCCCCTGCTTCATTTCACGTGCTGCTCTTTTCCAAACGTCTAGGGTTGACTACAACCCATTTATGTTCACAAATCTCTTTCTTTTTAAAAATATGCTGTTAAACTATTCCTGTACTTCTAAGTGAAGGATCAGCGTGGCCGTGCCCCACAGTTTTCACGGGACAGCCTCTCACTCTCATTTATTTCTAAGATGTTTGTAATGTTCTTGGGATGCCTTCTGATTCTAAATCATTGAGGAGTGTGATCCGTTTCCAAACAGGTAGATGGACGGATCGCATTCCATTGTGGTCACATGACATGTTCTAGTTGATAATCTTTGAAATTTGTGACCACATTGGTGAAATTTTGTACATATACTACGTGCTTTTCATAAAAGCATACGTTCTCCATTTTTAGGTGCAGCGTTGTATCTCTAGCTGCCCATCTACCATTTTCTGACGCAAGATTAACTCAAGCAGACCCTGGCTCTGGACCCTTCTCACCCTGGAGCCTAGGGTCCCATTTTCCGCTCACCCCATCCCCTTCCATCTGCCCGCCACCCCCCACGGAGCAGGGCCAGGAGACCAGGGGTGGCTGCAGGTCATCAGGGAGGGGAAGGGGGGTCTGCAAAGGCTTTGGCTGTGTCTGGCTCACCTGTCTGGTGACACTGGGCAATGGTTGTTTGGACAAAGTCCTTGATTTTCTTGTACTTCTGCAAAAAACTCTCCAAAAACCGGGCAGCCTCCTGCACAGTAACTCCAAGGCAAGCAGCAAGCCGCTCCTTCCCTGTGTGGACAGAAACGCTCAAGATCAGAGGCAAGCTCACACCTGCGGGGATCACGAGCCACGCTGCCTGGCAGCGGCCACCACACACAGAAGTGAGCCCGCAGAAGGGCCCTTGGAAGACACTGTGAGTCTGGGGTCTATGTCTTCTGATCAGTCAGGATAGTGTTGGTTTTGGCTTTCCAGCTGAGTTCCCGGTGCCACTCAGCCTAGACTGGTGCCCGGTCTCAACAATACAGGCCGAGTGCCTGGCAGGCATGGAGGTAAAGCTGCCAGTAAAGTCCCTCAGCCTGTCCAGAGAGAGAGAGCTAACTCCAGAACTAGGGGACACTGGAGAGGGGCACAGAGGGAAAGAGCAAGGGAGCGTTCCATTGCCAAATCATGAGAAAATGTACTTAGGAGATGCCATCCTTGAAATTTTCATTTTGAGACCAACACTTCTGGTCCAGACCGATACTTGTTTCCTAGAGGATGCAGGTATTCTTGTGAGTTTTTTTTACAGCAGGATCTCTGGTCAGGATAGCACCCGGAGTCCCAGCGCAGCCTGTGGGGAGCAGATGCTGAGGCCACACAGACCTGGGTCTGAGTCCAGCTCTGTCACGCACGGGCGGCTCCGTGTGGCCCTGGGGAAGTTATGTGACCTGCGATCAACCCTGTTTCTTCACCTATGACTCAAGAACATGAGTCCTTACTCCAGGGTTGTTAAGGGGACACCGCTGGAGGAAAGGGACTGATTGGGCTCAGATCCAATCTTCTCTTTAGCCAGGCTGCCCCTAGCCCGAGTCAGCTGATGCTTTCAGGGGTCTGGACAGAAACTGTTCACATCTTGGGAGAGTGAAGGGGCAGATGTTTGCTTCCACAGCTTGGCTATGGAAAGTGGGAAAGGCTGTGCTCCCCAAAGTCTCTTCCGGCAGAGAGAGCTTTTGAAGCCCTCCGTCCTTGCTCTCACCAAGCTTGCCAGACTATCCCACGTCATTGGACAGAAACAAAAGAACTCCACTTTCTCTATTAGAGCTTATTTAAGACCATGTGATAGCTTCATGAATATAGTCCACTGAAATAATCCATCTCTAAGGCTTTCTTTCTAGGACATTCTAATCCCTGCCCCTCTGCTATGTCACTCTAGTGGAAACCTCCATCAACTTTCAGAAAGGAATCAGATGGTGGCTAGACACCTCCGGCACATCTGGCTTAGTGGAACCCTGAGTCTTCTCCGCTAAGTCCTTTCTCATGTCTAACTACTGTTAAGCTGAGTCAGTGAACTTTTTATTTCTGACATTGTAGTTTTCAGTTTTAGAATTTCCATTTGGTTCTTTTTATTTTCTGAGATTTCCTTTTTTTCCCCATTCATTACGACCATGTTTTCCTTTACATCCTTCAGCAGAGTTATAATAATGGCTTTAAAATCCTTTTCTGCTAATTTCAACATCTGGGTCATCTCAGGATTTGCTTCTATGATGGCCTTTTCTTTTGAGTATGGATCAAATTATCCTACTTCTTCATATGTTTGGTAATTTTGGATTAAATCCTGGATATTATGAATGAAATGTTGTAGACACCCGACTCTATTATGGTTTTTGTTTTTCAGGAGTATTGATTTTTTTTTTTTTTAAGGAGGCAGTTAATGTGGCTAAAGTCAAACTTTGAAATTTGCCCCTCTGCAGTGGGAAGCAGCTGAAATCTCAGTTCAGCCCTTTCAGCCTTAGCTGGGCTGTCTGAAGTCTGCCTGCTTATGCATAGTCAGGGGTCAGCCAGAGGTTTGGGCAGAGTTCATACCCAGAATCTAGTGTTCTTTGGCTTCTTGGGCTCTCTTTTTTTCTGAGCTTTTCCCCTCACTTTCCAGATTCTCTGGTTGCTTCAAACTCTGTCCTCTGTTTCTTCAGGCAAGTGAGACTATGGATTTCTGTTGGAGTGTTAGCCACCCATCACACTGACCGAGGTCACCCTGAATCATTCCTCCCAAAGGTCACTTTTCAGTACCTTTTGGGAGTTATTATATTTTTTCCATAATTTATAGTTGATACCTGTGGGAGAGGAGTCTGCTGGGACCTGCTTGGCCATTGCACAAGTCACACTCCTCCTCAGTATGTGTGGCCCAGAAAGGGTTCCTTTCCTGTATTGGGTAGAGATGTTGGGAGATCAGAAGGGCAGCGGTTGGCTGAGGTCCTGCACGTGAAGAAGCCTGTTTATCAGGGGAACAAAAAGTGCAGTGACTGCAAAGGAAGAAGACGGAGACTGGGAAAGAGATGGAGGTCTGGACAGTTCTCTGATTCTTTGCTCCTGCACCCTTCCTGGGGGCCTGTCACACTCAGGCACCCAAGCAGGATGGCCGTTGACACCATGAGGGCCTGTGCTCCATGCTTCACGGAGAGGGGCCCCTTTCACACAACTGTCCTTCATGCTTTGGTTCACTTGATGGGGTTTCTGCTCTTTGAGATGTAATTGCAGGCAGGTTTGTCCCCCTGAGAGCAAGCACGCCCCTGGTGGGAGCACAACCAGTCCTAATCTCTGAAATCCTAGATGAGCGCGGGATGTGACTCTTCCCACAGCCGGCGAATTACGTCGTGTGCTTGTGAGCTGCATCTTTAGCTTTAGGAAGACCGTCTTCACTCCCTTTTCTCCAAGTGTTCTTTGGCCCCTCACATTTTTGCTAATAGTTTCTCCCTCTTGTCTGTGGCTCTGGGGCCTAGTGAGCACCTGGCACGTTGTGGCCTCCAGGAGTGCTGGCTGCTCTGACCAGAGCAGCCCCGACTAACTTTCCACATCCTTCAGAACCAGCAGCCTGCCCCGCCTCTCCCGGCCCTACCTGGCACCAATGACTCTGGGGCACTTGTCACTCAGCGCTGTCCTCCCGGGCCTGCTTATGCATTTCTGGTGACAAATGTCAGCCCCTAGGAACAATGGGTGCCTGCTGATCGAATATGATTGGATGTGGAGGCAAACTTAAACGCTGAACACCTTGAGGAGAATCAAGGGTTAAACGGACTCTAGGAGTAGTGGGAGCTCAGAGCAAGACCTGAGGGTGTCTGGAGGGGCCTCAGAGGGGCCATGAGCAGGACTGGGCTAGCTAGGGTGCATTGTTAGTTGGCAGGTGGCTGACGGAGGGGCAGTGAGCCGGTGGTCACCCCTTTGGGCGAGACCCCTGGGGAACAGCGGCTCTGTGGTCACCACCATTCTGGCAGGGATGGCCCTTCCGGCAGAATCTGGGGGAGGGGTGGGGACCAGGCTGCCCCACCCGTGGGCCACAGCGGGGCCGCACAGATGTGAAGTCCCTCTTGAGTCCCTTCTCTGCTCATGTCACAGTCCTGCTTCTCCTCAGCTGTCTCTCACTGTGGTCCTCACGCCGATTGCACCAACCCAGGAGGTGCCCCAGCACTCAGAGTAGCAGCTTCCAGACCCCCAGTGAAAACACATCATCGCAACCATGAAAGCCAGCTGGTGGGAAGCGTCTGTGCTGCGTTCCCAGAGGGTCCCCAGCAGCCCAGGAGACCCGACGGGTTCGCCTGACAGGACTCTGGCTTCGCCCGCGGGGAGGACAGCACAGCCATGTGCCGACACCGGCAGAGGCATGGTAATCTGTGGTGGAGCTGGCCCGTGACAGCGGGAACAGCAGAAACGGAGGCTCGGGGTGGGAACCATGTCACCGTCAGGGCTAAAAGCAGCCAAATTACTCTTTTCACCAACATCACGGCTGATGACTCACTGCTTATTTACCAAGTGGAGCTCTTTTCCTCTCCGGCAAAAATAAAGTGCATACTCCAGAAGGTGCCAAACCGACAGAAGTGAAGCTGACTTGGGCGCATCCTGCCGTCTGCGTGAAGCTGCAATGAGTGCCCCGCACACTCCCGCCCATCGCTCGCTCGCAGCTCCAGCTGAGGTGGCGGCCCCACCACCGCACACAGATGCCTGTCGCTTGGTGCTGTGTACGGGTGCCGGAGTGGCGGCTGACGCCAAAGATGAGAGTCGGCTGGTGCCAGGCACCACTCCAACAAGCCAGCTCTTCACCGACTGGGAGGTGACTAGGGCACAGAGGTGGGGGGACCTTCCTGCAGAAGGTCACTGATCCAGGAGGGACAGAGTTAGGACTCCAGCCCGGGCTGCCTGCCAGGAAGCAGGGGCAACATTCTGCCTGCAGATTCTGGAGCAAGGATTCGCGGCACCAAGATGTACTACAATTTGGTGGCAGGCTGCCCCTCCCCCGACAGTGACCCAGGAAGGTTCAGGAGCACAGCAGAGGGAGGCCCAGCAGAGGAGCCAGACCAAGCCAGTCTGAGTCATCCCACTATCACCCACTGAGTTCAATTCTTTCAAACAAAGTTTCTTAGCCTGTTTCCCAAAAACTGTACACAAAATGTTTTCACAAGTAGGGTCAAAGGACTACGCAGTTTGAGAATTTGTTCGGTAAGTATTTATTGTGCACCTGCTGTGTGCCTGGCCACGGGCAGAGCCAGCAGAGTTGCTTTGTGGGGCTCCTCGGGCTGGGAGAGTGGGCGGCGCTCCAGGGGAAGCAGGGCGCTTCCTGGAGGAGGAGGTCGAGCCGGGCACTGCACCGGGAACCCAAGCTTGGAAAGGGGTGTGCAGCAGACTCTAAAGTGGCCTCCGTGGTCCTGCCCCCTGGTCTTCACACCCTGGTGTGACCCCCCCCCGGGGGGATGGGCAGACCTGCCTCTAAGCAGCGGCACAGCGACGGTCACGGCGGTACTGACTTGGGATTGTGTAGTAAGTGTGCAGCACCGTCCTGCCGGCTCTGAAGAACACAGCCACGTGTGGTGGGCTCTGCCTACATTGGGGGCCCCATGTGGCAAGACCTGAGGGCTGCTGACGTGCTCCCTGGTGGAGCTGCTGGTGAGACCACAGCCCTGGAGACCCACGGACACCGATCATGAATATGTTACCCGGAAGCGGATTGCTGATACAGTGGTCAAGGATGGCCAAGAAGGCGGCAGCGGAGCCAAGAGGAAGGCATGAGGGTGAGCTCTGTGGACTGCGGAGGGCCTGGACCGGAGCCGGGCTGGCCGGCGGGAGGCACCTTCCAGACCCGTCCTACGCAAGGCGCTCACTGCCCGGCACCACGGTCACATTGCCGAGGTACAGGTTCTTAAAGATAATCGATGACACGTCTGCCTGGATGTTCTTGTGCTGGAAGCCCCGCCCCTTTTGCTGCCTTTCCTGGAGTGAACGAAGGGTCTCCGTGGCAGGGAGATGAATTCTCCTCAGTGTCTTTGCACGGGACTTGCTGCTCAAACAGGACTGATCCAAAGAAGACGGTCCACACAGCCAGATGGGCCCTTCCTTCAGGAGGGGCTGGCTGGCCTACAGCTCCTTCATACCCTCTCCCTTGCTGTCCTGAGGAGACGTGAGGTCCCACTGGTTCAGCATGACGTAGAGGGAGAAAAAAGTTTAAACAGAATTTAATAAGCCACGGTTAGGAAATCGGAGGGAGAGGAAGGGAGGCCTGCTCAGCCTCAGGCCCTGGGTGGTGGGGTGGAGGTCAGGTTAGGATGGGGTCTCCATGAGCATCTCAAAGCCCAGAAGTGGCCCCCAGCACAGCCATGTGATGTAGGAGTGGGGCTACACGGTCGGGCTTCAGCCCTGCAGCATCCCTCCTGGCTGGGCAACCGTGGTCTACAGTCACTTCTGAGCCTCTGTCCTCTCAGCTGGCTGGACGCTAAAGGAGCTGATGGTGGTCTGACTGGTTTCTGGTGCATCTCAGATGTCATCAGGGTTTTGTAAATGACACTCACAAACTCACAGAAGTGAGCTCTGGGGGCCAAGAATGATGTCCCTAAGGCACAGCCACAGTTAAACACAGACACAGGACAAGAGCCAGCTCCATCCGGCCTACAGATGACACCGAGACTGGCCTGCAGCCTACCTGCTCCATAGACCGCCGAGTACACCACCTTCTTGGTCTGCTCCCTGTCTGCACGTGTCACACACTCTGGGGTGATGTCCTTCCTGTGTGGAAAGATGGCATGTGGTCAGGCCCATCAGCGTCCTGTCTGCAGAGGGGGCCGCATGAGTCCAAGCCACTTGCCACCTGTCATAGCTCTTTCTCTGCAGGCTCTTAACCATTTCAAACCTGTCCATGGGGAGGGGGAATTCAGCACCTGCACATCTGGCTCGGCACGGTTCTCTGCACAGAGGCTGACGCTGAGGCCTAGCAGGCCACATTCCTGGGTGTCGCACACCAAAAACCAAAAGTGCTTCCACCAAAGGAGTACAAGCCAACTTGAGGAAAGCCTTCCCCCCGGGGCGAGGGGGCCTGGGCCTAGAAGCCCAGTGGATGCCTCCGAAGGCCGAGGAGGATGGATGAGCAGCCTCAGCCTTGCCTTAACAGAGATGGAGGGGCTGGTGGGCAAGCCCGTCCTGAGGGCGTGGTCTGCAGAGGGTAAAGCTGACACGTTGAAGCAGCCCAGGGGCTGGTGGGCGCCTGGAGCTGCTCCTCCCTGCCAGCCACCCACGTGCAGCCGTGAGGCTCAGGTGTACAGGGATCTCTCAGAGAGCAGGCGCTTCAGATTCAGGAGGAGGGAAATAGAAAGGGAAAAGGGAACCTGTCCCAATCTTTGTGGGTCGGCTCAGCTCTGGGCTGTGGGCAGCGCTGCCAGAGCCTTCATTTCCAGCTGACACTTGGCCTAGACACCAGCCCCAAGCGAGCCTGGGGTCTTCTTGGGTCTTTCCCGAGTGTGTGAGCTGCCCCGGGCATGCATATGGTTCTCTAAATTTTCTGCTGTTCACAGGCAGCTTTGAGGGCCCAAGCAGTTCTTTTTTTTTTAAGATTGATTGATTTATTCTAGAGGGAGGGGGAGAGAGAGAGAGTGGGTGCACGAGTGGGAGGGGCAGAGGGAGAGGGAGAGAGAATCTCCAGCAGACTCCCCGCTGAGTGTGGAGCCTGACATGGGGCTCGATCCCACCACCCGGAGATCGCAACCAGAGCTGAAATCAAGAGTAAGACGCTCCACCGACTGGACCACCCTGGCACCTGGTCCCCAAGTTCTCCCCAGCTGTTCCCCCCAAGCTTTCAGTGCTCGGTTATTTGCCTTGCCTGCCATCCTGTACTTCAAGCAGCTGCATGCTGTTCACCTCATGATGTTCTCCAGCAGTGCCCCCCACTTGTCTGCCCCAGGTGAGTTCTGAGTTAGGAGAGACAATGCCCGTTGTCAGTCTGCTGTGAGAACAGACTAGATGCCGATCTTTGCACACAAGGTCTGCTTGCTCCCTCTGGAGCCAGGCACCTGGGTCCCACGCGGGGGTGCGCCAAGGGCAAATGCCACAAAGCTCTTCCACGGTCTGTGGTTGCCTTTTTCTTGACTCAGCATTTCCTTGGTTGCTGTAAACTGTTGACTATTTTTCAGAGTTCTGACAAAGTTGGTTCTGACAGTTTTTGCTTGATTTTTTGATGTTTCTCCTGGGGGGACAGAACCTCAGAGATGCCTACTTTACCATGTTCACTGGCGTCTAAGAGCTCACTAATTTTTACCACGTGATTTCTAAGTACCAACGTATCCTTTGTGCTTTTTCCACTGTGTTAAGACATTTTGCCCACTTGTTTATCTCACCCTTGAATTTGATATCATTAACAGCTTTATATAGATGAGAAGCAAAAAGCCAACATGCATTCATGCTCAGAACAAATATGTGTCAACTCCTAGGTCACCGTCCCCCCTCCCTCCCTTTATTTGGGAAATCCTACAGGTGCTCCAAGCCTGTTCGACAAAGACACTCCTGAAAAACTTGCTGGGACTGGCTTTCCCTGTTTCTTGCCCAGGACCATCTGTGACAAGGGCCCAGACAGACCCTCGGATGGCAGCTGCAAGGAGGGAAGAAGGGAGCGTTTTAGAGCAGGGCGCCCAGAACCAAGCACATAGGTGACCTCTCCTCAGTGCTGTAGAGTCAGAGTTGTCTGACAAAGCAGCATTAAACGCTCCCAGAACCTGCTTCTTCCCAAAGTGTGACAAGATCCAAACAGCATAATCAATCAATAGATATGGACATAGAAAGAAACCATGCTCTGATAATAGAGAATATACTTTCTTCCTAAGCACATAAGGCACACTCACAATAACCCATCATACATTAGGACACACAGAAAACATCAAAAGGTTGCACAAAGCAGAAATATTAAAATAACATTCTGATCACAGTGCAAGAAAACTAAAAATTAAAACCAAAGCCCCTCCCCGCAAAACAGAACAAAACAAAAACCAAACCAAATCCCATCTACCTAGAAATAAAACAAAAAACACTTCTTTCAGATGACTTTTGGGTGAAGAAAAATACAAACACAGATTATGTAACTTCTACTGAAAGCACTGTATGTCAGACCCAGTGATTATATTTAAAGCAGTGAGGAGATTCCGTAGAGCCCTAAACACTTATTTAAATGACAGTGAAAGAACGAAAAAGGACAGTTGGCCCTTGAACAGCACGGGGCTTAGGGGCAGATCCCTGCACAGCCAAAAATCCATGTTTAACTTCTGACTCCCCCAAAACTTACCTATTTATAGCCTCCTGTTGACAGGAAGCCTTACCCATGACATAAACAGTCGATCAACACACATTCTGCATGTTACGTGTATCATATACTGTATTTTTACAATAGAGTAAGTTACAGAAAAGAAAATGTTATTAAGAAAATCATAAGGCAAGGAAAAAACTAAAAGAATTATCACAGATAGATGAGACTAAAGAGACATAAAACTAAATGCAATGTGGGATCTTGGACCAGGGAAAGTACATTAATGGAAACACTACTGAAATTCTAATAAAATCTTTTATTTATTTATTAGTATTAAAAAAAGAGAAAATCATAAGGAAGAGAAAATACATCTACAGTACTGTCCTGAGGCAAAAAAATCCTCGTGTAAATAGACCCATGCAGTTCATACCCGTGTTGGTCATGAGTCAACTGTACATAAACTAGGTTTTCAACTCAAAAAATAAGAAAAAGAACAACAAAGCAAATCAAAGGAACACACAGGAGGGAAATAATAAAGCTAGAATAAAGATGGGAACAGAAATTGATGAAGTAGGGAACAGCAAAACACTAGATCAACTTAATAAATAAAAATCCTGGTTCCTGTAAAAAATAAAATAAGACAAATCATCAGGTGGTTTAATCAAAAGGGAGCAAGCACAGATATACAAAATAAGAAACAATAAGGGAAGGTAACTAAACATATGCAAGAAGTTAAAAAAATCCTAACAAGTTATTTTGCAGAACTCTATGCAAATAAATTTAAAAACTTGGGTGGACATGGACATTTCTTAAGAAAACACAGTTGCAAAAATTGGCCCCGGTAGAGATGAAAGTTAAACAGACCAGAGAAGAATGTCTAAAGAAGAAACAGAAAATTATTAAGGAACTACCTTATAAAGCCCTCGAGGCCCAGATGGTTTCAAAGGGGAGTTCTATCAAACCTCAGAGACCAGAGAGTTCCTAGCTGTCTAAATTGCTTCAGAGCATAGAAAATGAAGAAAAATGTATTTTATTAAGTATGTATAACAGTTATTCCAAAACAAGATAGAGTATAATAAAGGAAAATGACAGACCCTACCTCCTATGAATATTGATCAACACCTACTCCTAATAAAAACTCCTGGGAAAAAAGGGATTGTTGGATACTTCCTTAAAATTGTAAAACACACACCCCAATCGTAAAGCTGTCATTTTACTATATGGGGAAACACCAGAGGCATTCTTACTAAGGTCAGAAGCAAGGCAAGGGTCCTCACTACCTCCAATACTATTTAACATTGTTCTGGAAGTATTAGCCAAATTATCAGGGGCATAAGAATTGGAAAATTTGAAGAAACCTATCTCTAGTTGCAGATGACAAGGTAGTATTTTGGAAATCCCTAGAGAATCAATGATAAAATAATTCATAAAGTAGTGGGAAATAAAATTAGCATAGCAAGTCAATAGCCTTCATGTATGCCAATAACCATAGAATGAAGATACAATGGAAGAGAGGACCTCATTTACAACTTCAATGAAAAAGATAAAATACTTAGGAATAAACAACGAGAAATGTGTCACACCTATATGAAAAACCTTTAAAACTTCCTGAAAGACACAAAAGTAGATGTGATTGAATGGAAAAGCATCCCTTGTTCTTGACTGAAATGTTTCAACATCATTAAGATGTCAGCTCTCCCTACGCTCATTTGTGTATTTAATGCGATCTCAATAAAAATACCAACAAGCTTTTCCCTAGAAGCTAACATTCATGAGGGACATAAAGGCTCGCAAACAGGAGAGCCGCCCAGACATTAAGACAGGCAGCAAGCTCTGCAGAGTGCGGTGGTGTGGTAGGTGTGGAAGAGCCAGGGCCCCGGAGCAGGACAGAGAGCTCAGGGCCAGACTCGAGGACATGCAGAAGTGCCCTGGAGCAAAGACGGGATTCCTGGTACATGGTTCTGGGACTGCTGCAGAGCGGTAGGGCACCAGAAAACACGGCAATCTCCTCTGTAACCTGGATGTAGGAGAAGGCTTTCTGACCGTGACTTCAAGTCTAGATGTGGAGAAAGGAAGGGTGGATAGATCACCACCACCCAAAACCCCACGTCTTTTGTGTGGCCTAAGATACCATAAGCGAAGACAAAAGACAAACAACAAACTAGGAGAAAATTTTCATAATATGGATCAGAGATGAAGAGCTAACACCCTAACGAAACACAACGTTCCCACGAAAGAAGGATGAAAATGGCCAAGAGGCAAAAGCCAAGTTCTGTGTGTGGATTTCTGCTGGCCGCAGTGGGGCAGGGCCTCCGGCTCCTGATAACTCAGAGGGATTCTGCTTTTGGGTGACGGGGTAGTGAGCCACCCCCACACCCCCCAAGGCCAAGTCGGCTGACCCTTCCTTGTGCGGGAGAAGTGTGGGAAGCAGCTTAACACAAAGTAAGATGACTGTTTTGGGATGCAGGCTGAAGGCTAACTTGCAAGTGGAGGTTGGTGT